CGTTGCTCAACGAGGACATCGAGCACAAGCTGGGCCAGATCCTGGGCCTGCTGTTGGAAAGCAAGCTGGTCGAATTCGAGAGCACCATCAACAGCTGCTTCGTCCACACGCTCATCCGGCTCTACCTCGAGAAGGCCCCGCTGCCCCAGCAGCCCTCGCTGCGTGCAGAGATCCGACTCTCCATCGCACAGGTCATGTGGCGGGCCGCGCACCACTACGATCCCATGACCAAGCAGCAGGCGCACGAGCAGCTCTACACCACCAGCCCCGCAGCCATCCCGGGCACCGCCAGCGGCCACCACGGCGGCCCCACGCCCTCGTCGCCGTGGGCGGCCGGCCAGGCCGCCTACGCGCTGCGGCTCTTCGATCGCGAGCGGCCCAACATCGAGCTGGCCCTCGACCTGGCGGGCTTCACGCCTGCCATTTTCGCGCTGCTGCAGCTGCGGCGGGTGGAGCTCGACGAGTGTGCGTTGGGGATCATCATCGCCGAGCTGATAGGGCAGACGATGCCGAGTGAGAAGCCGGGAGAGGTGACCGGGGGGATGGGCGTGGGGATGGTGTCCCGTGCGGCAGACCATGAGGGCGCGAGCGACAGGCTGGTGAGAGGGGGGATGAGAAGGGAGAGGGGGGGAGGGTGGACGGGACGGGCCGCAAGAGTGGATCCCACTGGTTCCGTGCATGTGTGTGTCTGGTCAGAATGAGATCGAGGTGGCGAGCTTTGTCAATCCTGACATCGACTACGACCTGCCGGCCGACCTGGCCAGCTCCACCGGCGTGGTGCCGCAGCCCGACCCAGCCACCGCCGAGCCCCCACTCCAGGTGAGCAACACCATCCTCGGCAAACTCGACGTGTCACAAACGGTGAGCAGCAGAACTTGCGACCATACCGTCAGACAGACACGCGACAATCTGCAGTCGTTCTCGCTGTATGTCTCTGTACCTGTTGATCAGTTGGAGGCGCCCGTCACGTCCTCCAAGGCGTGCTTCCCGCCCTCATGCTACCTCCTCTCGCCCTCAGACCAGCTAGACGCCCCGGAGGACGTCCCGCCCCCCGTCAGCGGCCACACACATGCCGAGAGCCAGCAGCACACAGCCACAGCCACGACCACGGCCAGCAGAGGGCCCTGGTGGGGTGGGCTGGGGAGGGTAGTGGAGTGGTTCTTCCCCGCTCCCCTCCCCTCCCCATCCAATGATATGACGACGTCTGAGTGGCTGCGTGCACGTTGGTGTGATTGTGATTGAATGTGTGGTTTGTGCCCTTCATGAGGTCCATGCATGTGATTTGTGCTGTGATGTGCTGTGATGTGTGTAGTGTCATGTGTTGTGTTGTGTGTTCTGTTTTTGCTCTGTCCGCCTGGCTGTCTGTCTGCGTACACACACTGATGGATTGCCTGTCTGCTGTCTGTCTGTCTTGACTGTCTGATTGTTTGGTAGAGGGACGAGATTTTCTGCCAAGCTGCTAAGCAGTGCAGTAACAGTAACAGTGTGTTCGTGTGTGTGCGGCAGACATGGCGTGAAATCCATCCACTGCAAAGGTCAACACACAAGAAATGCAAGCCGTTCCGGTCCACAAGGCTGGCTGGTGGGATACTTGGAGCTTCGCTGAGGATCCACCAGAGGTCAAATGAAGAGCCTCTGCACCCACACAGGCGCATCGCATCTCAGACGTCAGACCTCTATCCGACCAAACCGACGAAAAAGAAAAGTGAGCGGATCTCGCACGCAATCTGTATGGCTTCTTCTGGCAGCAGCCATCGTCTCTGCCTCTGTCTGCCAGTACTGGCCTCCCGTTGTCCGCAGAAAGCGAGAATCAAATGCGGCGAGATATATTTTTGCGAGCGCTCTGAGACGGAGACAACAATGATTTACGAACTTGCAGCAGTTTCTTTCGTTTTCGAGCGCGTTCGGCTTTCCAGCCTTGTTTCGGCCACATCTCCTCCGTTTCTTTTTCTTTTCGGCTGGTTGTTGGCTTGTGTTGTCCGCCGCATCTCCCTATACCCTTCGCAACTCGTCCGGATTTCATCCGCCACTTTTTTCCTCCACCGCCGTGCCCCGGGCGAGGCCTCCTTTGCTGGCGCCCTGCCTTCTGCGGAGCGGCTGGCGCCTGCCTGGCGTCAGCCAAGTGCCCAGGCGCCTTCTTTTCCCCCAAAGCGACTCCGTCAGGTAAATACAGATGAGCGTGGCCTTGTGCGTCATGTCTCTTGGGTGTGGTGATGGTGTGGTGTGTGGATGAAGTGTAGGGATGAATGCATGGTGCATTTCGTTGCCATGGGTGTGCTCAGATGCCTCCTCTTGCCGTGTTTGTACGTGCAGATGAACTGATGGCTCTGTACAGATGTGGTCGCCAGCGCCACCGCAGAGCTCAACACGGCCGATGTGACCACCGCTAAGGCGCGCAAGCAGGAGCAGGAGCAGCAACACGGGCAAGAGGGAGAAGCAGGGCCGGAGGAGGACAACAATGGCGCAGAGGAGGAGACCAGCGCGCCACCACCGGCAGCAGAAGATGCCAATGGACGAGACGGCAAGACCCAGCAGCCGCCTGCCCAGATTGGCGAGGAGGGGGATGGGTCGTCTGCTGGTGCTGCTGCTGCACCCGCCCAGTCAGCAGACCGCGGGTTTTCAGCGATTCCGCGGGAGCTGTTGTGGAACATCTTGCGACATGTCGCCGATGAAGCGGCTGTGGGTAAGATCGTCAGCCAGTGAGTGAATATGTGCATCTCAAATGTCTCTTGTGCCTGCTGCATGAACAGTCTGCCGTGAGTTTGCGGCCGAGGTGTGGGCCCACCGCCGGCGCGTCGCGCGGCAGCGACGGGCGGATCGTGCCCGTCTCGTCATCGATAGGTACAAGCACACCTCACAACATAGCTGCCTTTGAAGCTACTATGTGTTGTCTGTTGTCTGCTTCATGTGCAGGGCGCTGAACGACCCCGCCGAAGACTTCTACACCGCAGCGTACGCCGATGCCCTTGTCCAAGAGATGACGAGATCGATGCCCCCCATCGCCCCCTACTGCGTGTACGGCCGCCCATCCTAACATAGAATAACTTTAGACGCCATCCTGAGTGGGAGAGAAGGTTCTGGTGAGCGCATACATGCGTGCCCGTTTCGCCAGAATTGACACACGAATGGACGTCCGTGTCCGTGCAGAGGAGACGTCATCATCTGACGACCAAGGACATGGTCTTGAACGTGGCGAGGCAAGGGTGTGGGACGAGAGCGATATTGTGGATTTGGCGAATGTAAGCGAGCGCTTACGAGTACGACGAATTCGAATGATTTATGTCTTTCGCTTCTCTGGTGTTGTGAATGCAGTGCTAGTGCGGTTGCGGCACAGCGATCCAGTGGGCATGGGATGCGTTCTTGCGACTTTTTCGATAAGAATCTGCGGTTTTGGGGGTGCGTGTCGTCACTATATGGCTTTGCTTCCCTTTGTGTCTGAGTCAAATAAGTCTTTCGTGTACTATCACACCATCTGACTGCGACCGAGGCACAGCAGCTGCTACACTTGCGTGTCTTATCTGCAGCATCTTCAGACTGGAGCTGCCATCGCAACGCCCCGCCCTATCAGAGTGAGCACGAGAGAAGGTGAGACATGAGTAGACATTCATTCAAGATGTGACTCGCTGGTCTTCTGTGTGTCTTTGCTCGTCAGGCGTCTAAAAATCGCTGCCTGCATTTTATATCGGCTGCAAGTGATTATCCACTCAACGCGTTGGCCGTCGGCAACCCTTCAAGGCCCGGGTCGATTGAGTTGGTGGCTGTCTGCTGAAGGTCGCTCGGCGTTTTTGGAGCATTGCAGAGGTCACGAGGACCGATGGATGGCCTCACTCAGGTACAGAGGAGCACAAACCATCACAGTGAACATCAATTGAATCGCTTGCTGGCTTGGTTTCAGGCGATCTCGTGGCCCCCATTTGGCGAACTTGACAAGTTATCAAGTCCCTGGTTGAGAGTGACAATGCCGGAACCAAAGTACATGAAGAAGACCACCCACCGATGCCGCAACAAGCATACGTCAAAAAGACCAGCCCATCACACACCCAGGCGTCGCCAAGCTCGTCCTCGCGGCTCGTCCCGTCGACATCACGAGAGAGACGCCCCCCACGAATTCGAGTTGAACCGATGGATTCGCACCACCAGCCAAGTGGAGAAGCTCAAGGCCATGGCCATGGCCACGCGCGAGAACTGCGCCTACGACCAACGGGCGCCAGACCAACCGTGCCCTCTGTACCTCTGAGGGCGTCATTAAGGTACAGAGGATTCACACTGAACATCAACACAATCGCCTGCGCGCTTTGGTGCAGGCGAGATCGCCTCCCCCACGACCGAGCCCCCCATCACGAGAGATTTGTTGGTATTCAACTTTTGTTGTATGTGACGATGCCGGAACCGACGAATGTGAAGAAGACCACCACATCATCCACCCAGGCGTCAGAATTGCGAGGTGATGTGTGAGATGTGCATCGTCACCACACTGATGTGTGGCGTCCACCTTCTCTTTTTAGGAGCAACACACCAGCCCGACGTCGACTGTTCGCCCTTCGTTGCTGCTTGCGCATGCGTCGGTCGATGACGCCCACAGGGAGGCACGCAGAGAGTGAGTGGCACGAAAGTGCGTCAGTTGCAGAAGGGAGGCGTCTTGTGTACAGCCGCTGCTTACAATTATATCCTGACGGTTGGTTAAGCGTGTCTCTCTCTGCCTATCATCCGTGTAGACCAGGTGTGCCTGCAGATCATGTCTCTGCTGGTCTCTGCCTATCTCTGCCTACATTTTATATCCTGACGATCGGTTAAGCGTGTCGCCCTCGCCTGCCGGACAGACAGACAGCTTGAAACACACCTTACTCAGCCGAGGAGAGGTCGCATGCAACACGTCACGCCCCACCACCGTACACGCCCCCTCCCCTTCTCCCCCTCCCTACCGTCACTTTCGGAAACAGCAATGCGGTGTCCTCCGAGATGTACGCGGCAGCGGCAGCTGGTCTCGAGCTCTGTTTGTGATGGCCAGCTCTGTTGCTTTCTCACACACCAGCGATCCGAGCCCGGGGGCCTCATCGACGCTGTCGGGGCAGGCGTGCATTTGTAATGTCAGCCAATTGTTTCTTTTTTTTTTGCCGATCACACATAAGCACACAATGTCATACATCAATGCCCCCAGATAGCCATTCCTGTCCGATTCTCATGGTTTTCATCCCCTCTTGCATTGGAACAATCCCTCCTTTTTCAAATGCAAAGCTCGCAACTGAGCTCGCACAAAGAAGAAGAAAGCGCCAATGTCGCCTTGTCAGCCAGCCAGCAGCCGTGAGAGTGGCGGCTGCCGGTGGGTGAATGGATAGCTAGCTGATTGGCGTCCTCGTTGTTTCTCGCGCTTCCACCTGTTCAGCCCCCCCTCTCACCCCTCCTGTGTTAGCTCTCCCTCGTCAGTAAGTACGTTGGTTCCTGGGTTAGTTGGCTCTACTCACGATCAAGCCGTCGGTGGGCTGCTTCTGTGGCCCTTTCTCGCGGGCGAGAAGACGACCTTCGAACGTCAGGTCAGTCAAACCAAACCAGCAGAGAGGCAGGGAGGGAGAGAGAGAGAGAGAGAGAGAGAGAGGGACATAGGAAGGTCCGTTGTGGTGTGCGGACACACTGACGCTGTTGCGCGTCGTTCTGCATGGAGAGAACGCGTGTGTGTGTCATTCCATTGGCTCTCTGTCGTGTTCTCGGTCATGTAACCTTCGCGGCAGGTTGGTAGACCGTGATTCGTGTCCTGCTGCTGAGGGCGGCATTGTCAGCACGAGCATGCCGACGACAGTCACGGTCAACAACTCCACCAACGACAACAACGCCAGCAGCAATGCCAACAGCCAAAGGGCAGCCAGTGAGCAAACCAAACCTCCCCTGCAACAAACACTCTCATGTGTGTGTGACGTATCTGTCGTGCGGTGGTCTGTTCTGTTCTGTGGTGTAGTCGCGTCCACCCCTCCCCCCCCACCCCTCTCGCATCTCACGCCCGCCAGCGCACCTTCGCCGCCCATCCTTGGGTATTATGTTTGGCCACACAACACACGAACGAACAGAGAGAGAGATCGTGTGTGTGGTGTGTGGTGTGCAGGCTGTCGAGCGCCGAGTTGGACGCGAGTCAGGACATGTGTGCGTACTGCTTTGACGTGGTCATCCACGACATGCGGCCGAGCCTGGCGCTCTCATCTGACAGATGGGTACGCAACGCAGATGAGATGGACAGACAGACGCAGATGGACAGACGGATGCCTTTGTGTGTCTGTTTGCCTGTGTGTGTAGGGTGAGCCCCTCAACGGTCCGGTCATCCCAATGGACCTGCAACGGTTTGTTGACGCTAGGTACACCTAACCTACACGACACACACCATCCATCCATCCATCCATCTGTGTGTGTGTGTACGCCATGCCATGTGAGCAGGATTGAGTGTCCCCTGTTCGTGACCTGGTGCAAGAAAAGGAGAGGGTACCCGCCCCGCCTAGCGCTACGCGTGCATCGACTCACCCACCATCAATACACACAGAGCACCCCATCTGTGTGTGTGTGTGTGTGTGTGCAGGCACGAGCACTTGTCGTTCGATCGCGCATCGACCGAATTGAGGGGTGGGTCCGATCCGATGCTGCAGAAAGACAGCCAGCCAGCCAGCCAGCCAGACGCACACTGTGCAATCGTAAGCAGTGTGTGTGTGTGTGGATGAATGTGTGATGTGATGTGATGTGCATCAATCAAACGTGAATCAAGGCTGTATTGGGTGTTTGGACCCCATCCCGATCGAAAAAATGGGCGAGTACGCCATCAAGAGCGGCATGCAGGTGAGGGGAGGTGCGTACGCTTAGACAGACAGACAAGGAGAGAAAGAGAAAGAGAGAGAGAAAGAGAGAGAGATCCGTTCGTTAGATGCTTGTGTACACCGTGTGTGTGTGTGTGTGTGTGTGGCTATAGGACAAGAGGTTCCCCCCGCTGCACTACGACGAGCTCCCTCTCGTCATTTGCAAAATATCACTGCTGTGCCGCTTCCAGGTGCGTATGTGTGGGGGATGAGGGGTCGATCGGGGTCTCAGCTCATCGTCCGTCAGCGTCTCTCTCTCTCTCTCTCTCTCTCTCTGTGTGTGTGTGTGTCTGTGTGTCTGTCGATGTGAGCAGTCGTGTGTTGACGCCGATGATTGGGTGATTGGTGTGCATGGTGTGCTGATTCGCTTCCCCGACCCGCACAATGGAGCCCTGTAGGCACACACACCCACACACCCACCCACCCACCCACCGACCCACAGAGAGAGAGAGACCAAGATGCATACCTACCGTGTGTATCGATTTCGATTGGCAGGTTGTCAGCGACGTATTTGCCTGAGGTGCCGCTAGAGCACAACATGAGCAAGGAAGTCGCCATTCGTGAGCTGGTACGTCTGTCTGCTCGCATGCCCGATGATCGATGTGTGTGTGTGTGGAAACGGCTCGGCATCACACGTGTGCTGCGTGTGTGGTGCTGTGTGTGGGGTGCTGTGTGCAGATTCGCAAGGCTGGGTATAGGGGGCCGATCGACGGCGCCATGATGAGCACTTTGCAGGTGTGTGTCCGCCCAATCACCGCCCACACCTCCGTGATGTCTTCGTGTGTGTCGGTGGTTGATTGATTGCGCCTCCAGGTGACCCGGTACGAGAGCGCGAAGGCCTCTCTGACCTATGACGAGTACGTCCACCTGTACAATCCTTCACTCAGATAGAAAGAACGGACAGACAGACAGACAGACAGACAGGCGGACGGATGGACGGACGGACGATTGCCGTGACGTCTTGTTTTGTCGGTGCCGTGTGTATGAGAGGGAGATGGAATTGACGAGAGAGTTCCGTCCACACCGACCACGCACAGAGAGGGGAGGGAGGGAGGGAGGGAGGGGAGCAGAGGGATCCTTCCATAATCCATCAAGGCTCCATACTACGTTGCTTGCATACTCGTGTGTATGTCCATATCTATCATGACATGTATGTTTTTTATCCATGTCCGTCCGTCCGGTGCCGTGCGTCGTCTGTCTGTGTGCCTGTGTGTCTGTGTCGTCTGCTTGTGTGTCCACTGGCACACATGAATGACCCCTACATCTATCCATCCAGCTCTAATGCAGCCACTCTTAATGCAGCCACTCTCTCTCTCTCTCTCTCTCTCTCTCAGCCAGGCCAGCTATTGCAAAGAGCACTAGCCATAGCTACACTCAATCACCATTGTGAGCCCATGCATGCGTTCCCATGAATGGTGTGTGTGTGCGTGCGTGTTGTATGCTGTGTTCGTGTCTTAACGCTCTAAATAGGCAATGACGCAGCCAGACAGACCGGGAATCGGCCAGACCGATGCATCGATGTCTGCGTCTGTCATGACAGTCCTCCGCGCTACCAATCAAATGAAATGATGATCAACGCCCCTTTACACACGCACGGCGCATATTCTGCTTGCCATCCGATGTGCCAGTGTCTGTCTGTCTGTCTGCCTGTCTGCCTGTCTGCGCCTCTCTCAGTCGAATGAGTTGGAGTCAACCTTGCTCGGACACACACCGGGAACCACACTCAGTGGTGTGAAGAGGGAACACGTTGGTGGGAGCGGTTGGTTTGGCCGAGTGGTTAAGGCGCTAGACTGCTAATCTGGTGGGTTATGCCCGCGCAGGTTCGAATCCTGCAGCCAACGTTTCGTTTGTGGTGCGCTTCGACGACACGTGGGTTCGAGCCCTCCAGCTGTCATGTTTGTGCTGCACCTGTTCGATTTATGTGGTTCTGCGTGATCCCGTGGCAGTCTGTGTGGTTCCTCTGTGTGTTTTGTGACAGATCTGTAAGTGCGGCGGGGAGGGAGAACAATCAAACAGCGAGTGGTCTCACTGGTTTCTTGCAGATGTCGAGTGCTGCTCGTGACGGCCCTCCCACGTCTAGGGTATCGTCATCCGCTGCGTCGGTTGCAGCTGCTGATGGTGGGGGCGGCATCGCTGCAGAAGGGACAATCGTGCAGCCACAACTAGGTCTGTGTGTGTGCGTGTGATTGTGTTACAGGTGCCAGCCGTGTGTCGTGCGGCAGTCAGCAGCATCAGCATGATCCCCTTATCAGTGCCGCTGATGTGCCTGAGGAGGCAGTGCCCACAGTTGCCGAGTACGTCAGCAGCTACTCACAGCTGGAGGCCCTCATCGACGCCCATCCCACCCAATTCACCGCCGCCGTCATCCTGCCCATTCTCACCCGACTGCTGCCCGTCGTGGTGGAGGCCATCTTTGGCGGCCTGGTGGAGGTGCCGATGCCTCAGCTGACCCAGAGTGTGTCCATCATAGTGGCCACCACACGTCGGCTCTTCATCCTTGAGAGGGGCGGCAACTGGGACGGATGGCGGCCAGTGTTGGAGATGCTGTACTTGCTGAGACGGAGGATTGTGGTGCTGCGTGATGAGAGCTTCGGCGTCTTTAACAGCCGGGCGGCCTTCATCGGCGAGACGGAGGCTGTCCGGCAGTGGAAGATACTCAGCTGGGGGGTCACTGTGAGTCACAGAGGCCAGCATAGCCAGCTGATGGACGGCAACGGCATCCTTCGCCCCCCCCGGGCCAATTGCCGTTCCGCCCCCACCCTCCTCACCGAGCTGAGCCCCCTCTTTTTCCCTCACGACAGATTCGATCCCGCCGACCCGCGCACACAGCTGGAGCCCTCGACGTACCCCACCTACACCTCCATGGTGGCATTCGTTCGTCCTTTTCGGCTGGCTCAAGCGCGACCACTACATTTGCCGCATCAGGTCCTGGCGGTCTTGGCGCCATCCTTCTGCTGCATCCCGGCGTGTGTGTGAGGTGCTGGCGGCCTCTCCAAGCGATGCGGCACAGTGGGGGGCGGGGGCGGCCGTCTTCGACAAGAAGAAGGAGCTGGGACGGCATGAGCGGCTGGTGGTGCTGGGCAGTGAGGCGATGGGCGAGGGGCACATGGCAGTGAGTCAGCTGATCCACATGGCAGTGATTCATGTGGATATCTTAACGACCGAGTCGGCCCCCCACGACAAGACACGCACTATCGTGACGAGTGTGCTCGGGGATCACCTGTGTCGCAAGGTGTGGCGCGGGGAGAATGAGCACAGGCAAGCGACAGCCAGCGACGACGGGCGAGCGACGGCCAACACGAGGAGATGCACCATAATGTGATCGGGGGCTTTATCGTAAGTGTGTCGATTGTCCACGGTAGAGGGCTGCACGTGTGGTGGTGTGGTTGAGGGTCAGCAGGAGGGGAGACAGACACAGACAGACAGGCGCCTGCTGCGAATGTCTGGTGAGTGATGCATGGCGTGACTGACCTGTGTGTACGTTAGTTGATGGACCAGAAGAATGAATGAAGGCCGTGTTTGATGGGCAAAGGAAAAGAGTGAGCCATACATCAATCAGACGTACACACACACACACAGATCATCACACCCCCACGCCCGCTCGCACTCTCACACACACGTATGACGACCGACAGACACCCCACATCCATTGATAAGCCTCTGTCAGTCAGTCAGCCGGTCATCAGCAGAACACTCCCCTCTTCGCAGCCGATCAAACGGAAGACAAACACGCTGTGAGCCGGCCACTGGCAAACTCTGATCTCACACAGGGCGGCCGTGAGCCTCCCTCCTCTCTCGCCCACTCACTGAGGTATTCTCTCAGCTCGTCGTCGCTCATCATCCGTTTTTTCCCACACCCGTCGGTTCCTGAGCTTGGGGGCGGCGATCCCCGGCTCATGGACGTGCCGGCTCGCTTCTCAAGCAGGCTGACCTCTCGCTGCAGCCGCACACGCATCCGTGTCGTCAGGCGGATCTGGGTCACCAGCTCCATCGTCGGCCGGCCTTGGCCGCTGATGGCAAGCGAGATCTGCGGCAGCGGTTTCAGGGAGCACCCTAGCAATCTGCAGAAATCGATGGATTTTCCGCTTCCTTCGGGCCTCTGAGCAATGCACGTTTGTGTGGATGAGAGAGCCGGGCCTTCATTGACGTCTGAGCTGACAAAGATCTGACCTGACAAAAGAGATCGGTCGGAGGGACGAAGGAAAGCAGAAGAGAAGGATGCAGCACTGTCACCACTGTTGCTCATCGCCTGGGAGAAGGCGGCCGTCTCGAGCCCTGCTGCCCAGCTCGTACAAGGACGCACGCACACACACCTGCCTGCCTGCCTGCCTGCCTGCCGTGTGCATTCACTGTGGCGTCTGGTGCGTGCAGATGGCATAGGGGCACTGGGCAGCAGCAACGGCATTTGCTGGGTGGGGCGACGGCCAACAAGCTGAGAAGAGCCGTCTGGGGTGAGTGAGTGGAGCGGGGGATTGTCGACACACACAAGTCGCCCGAATACACCCAAACGAACTGACTCTCAAATGCCTGTGAGAGTGTGTTTGTGTCTGTGTGCAGGTGAGATCCGCGATAAACACCTGGATGAGCACATCGAGGCGGGCAAGCCGTCAGGTGAGGTACTTCTTGACGTGGCCAACACATCACATATGCATCCCCCCCATCCCATGTGTGTGTGGTGTGTGCCACGCAGCCATCCGGCGAGACAAGGAGCGGTTCCTGCGCCAAATCAAAGAGGCGCAGGCACGGATTCCCACACCGACACTCTCACAGAGAGAGAGAGGTGTGTCCACTTGTGTGGGCTTGTGGTGTGGGGTGTGCAGGAGGGTCTGTCGGGTCTGTTTGGTGATGAGGGCCGCAACGACATTCAGCAGCAGCAGCAGCAGATGGGGGATGGCAAAGACCTGTAAGCACACACACACACACACACACACACACAGAGGGAGAGAGAATGACGACTTCTCATCCACACGTATGGATTCAAGTGTGTTTGTGTGTGTGTGTGTGTGTGCGCAGCCACAGTGAGGCGCGTGACGTGTCGCTGTCTGCCTTGCGCATCTACAAGCTGCTGAGGCCCGAGAGCAAACCATTCTACCGCGTAGGCAATCCGAGTGAAGTGCCTACACACACACACTCGCCCATGTTTCTGATCTGTCTGGGGTGCCCGCGGTCCCTACACACAGGAGGACTCAATGCTGGGCCTCGAAACAAAGCTCAACTCGGTACCCCACCCACCCATTCACCCACACACACACACACACCCCAACACACCACGCCACGCCCTCGAGTGTGTGTGTGTGGCAGCTGCTGATGGCCCAAGCACCAGCAGCAGCACCAGGGACAGCACAATCAGAGGGGGATCACAACGGTGCATTGGTGCCTTCTGCGGCAGGCAACAGCAAGGCGGTGGGCACACGAACACCCACCCACCCACCCACACACGCACACCGACACACAGAGAGACATGGCGTGGCGTAAGCCTCAGGTGGACCCCCTGTCCTTCAACCTGCCTGTGGTCAACCCCAACGCATTCGCCATTGCTCTTGAAGCAGGTAGGTATGATGCGATGCGCGCCGCGCCTCCGTGGGTCTGTCTGTCTGTCTGTGCATCCTTCCTTGTCTGTCTGTCTGTCTGTCTGTGTGTATGTGTGTGTCTGTGTGTGACAGCAACTCGGTCCTTGGCAGAAGACCTGCACCACATCTGCCAGGTACTCTCCCTCTGTCTCTCTCTGCAGTCAGTCGTATGATGGCTGTGTAGGTGTTGGGTGTGGACAACTTGCCGACGAGCGATGATCCACTGCGGTTCAGAAAGACCATCGACGCCCTCGTATGCATGCGATTCGCCGCACAGACAGACAGACAGACAAACAAACAGAGAGAGAGACAGAGGGACTCGTGTGTGTCTGCGCTTGGCCTGGCCAGTTTCACTCGTTCCGTCTGAGGAAGGACCCCTCGTACGTCGACGAGTGGATGGAGCGGTAGATGCATCGCACACACACAGAGAAAGACAGTTCATTGTATCTGTCCGTGTGAGCGTGTGTGTGTGTGCAGGTGCTGGCACAGGCTGGCGCCGCTGCTGCCGAAGGAGATCCGAGAGAGAGACACACAGGTAGGTTGGTCTCACAAACACTCTCTCAGGCAATTAACTGACGCACGTGTGTCTGTGTGTGTGCTGCGGCGCAGGAGATAGCCGAGTGGCTGCGGGGGCACCTCACTCGTGTGGTCAAGAACCAGTCGATGGCACACAAAGAGGTAGGGTAGGTAGGTATGCAGCCCAGCCGCGTGTTGTGACACAGAACAGACAGACAGACAGGGGTACCCTCTCGTGTGTGTGTGTGTGTGGCCAGATCCACCTGCACAGCAAGCCGAGGGACGGGGTCGAATGGTACACACACATTTACCCTTCCGTCCGTGTGTGGGCAGACGCATCCCTGTGTGTGCGGTCTCTCCGTGTGTGCAGGTATGACTTTGGCGAGGACTTCATGTACGACGGTCAGCTAAACACCCACCCGGCCACACACTGATGCGCACCCGCACCGCACGCTGATGCCTCCGTGTGTGTGTGTGTGTGCAGATTTCCCCCTCCCAGCCGACATGATCGATGAGCGAAACCTCAAAGGTCCGTGCGCTGCGCATGTCGTCTCTGTTTCTCTCTCTCTCCATCTCTTTTTGTGTGTGTGTGTGTGTGTGATCGGTGTCAGATGCATTCCCGCTGGACAAAGCAGGGGAATACTTCACGAGCACCGCGAAGCTGCTGCAGGTAGACCTGCAGCATATCGGTGGATGGATGGATGGATGGACGTGTGTGTGTGGTGGCAGATGGGCGACGAGAACGTCAGCGACTTGGCAGACCAGTTCCAGTCTCTCTGCAAGTGCGCGCACCCCACCCCACCCTCACACACACACACACAGCACACACACGGGCATGAGGGTGTGTGTGCTGTGCTGACACACACAGCGATCTTGAAACAATTGGGCTGCGGAACTGGCTCACCATGGACATAGCAGAGGTCCACGACACACACGGAGACTGACATAGCACACCAATCGGCTTCCTTCCATTACCTGCTCTCTCTGTGTCTCTATCCCTCTCTCTCTCTCTCTCTCTCCGTGTGTGTGTGTTTGTGTGTGTGTGTGTGCACATCAGCTGGCCGAGTATCTGCCATCGGGCGACCTGCCGCAGATCGACGCCAGCCCACGAGATAGAGAGGTTCGCATACAGTGGGGTCGACGGACTGCATCCGTGTGTGGATGTGTGTGTGTATGTGTGTGTGTGTGTGTGTGTGCAGACGGCCAGGCTATTGCTGAAGGCAGCTGCTCGTGGGAAGGCGAACCTGCTGGAATTTGATGTAGGGCTACACAACAGCAGCAGAGAGAGAGAGGATATCACCTGTCTGTCTGTCTGTCTGTCAGGCGTTGGATCCCTACAAGCTGCTCCACCGATTCGAGCCCACCGACGTGCGCAACACACACACACACACACACACACAGAGTCCGTGTGTGTGTGTGCGTGTGCTTGAACGCAGGTATCAGCCGAGCTGTCCTCCCTCCCCGAAAACAGACACCTCTCCGACGAAATGATCGACCAGCTATTCGACATTCAGGGCGCATGTCAGCTGACATGCACACACACACACACACACACACAAAGAGCCACCAGTCGCAAGTCGGTCTGTGGTCTGTGTGTGTGGATGTAGGCCGCTCCCTCGGCCGCAAAGGCAGCAGCAGCAGCAGCATCATTGCTGACCATTCGGTTCGTGCGCACAGACACACTCGCATAAGGCATGTGCCTGTGTGTGTGTGTGTGTGTGCGTCTTAGGTTGATGAAGCGTTTCGCAAGCGGCATGGCAAGACCCCTATGGAAGTCCTGGTGAGCGAGTCCATTGGCCGGTGGGTGCATCATCATCTTTGTGTGTATGGGTGCATCATTTGTGTGTGTGTGTTTAGGTCGATCACGAGATGTCTCACGTCAAGACGGCCGGCCCTCTGGAATGGGTCGAACAGGACGGAGAGATCGTCAAGTGGACATGGTATGGTGACGCTGCAGATGTGTGCACACACCCAGTAGACGGACAGACAGAGAGAGAGAGAGAGAGATACGAAGGCGCAGTCACTCGTCCGGGCATCCATCACCCATTCGCGTGTGAGGGTATATGTGCAGGCGCAAGCCGGCCAATGCTCTCTATGACGCCAAGCGAGACCGATACGTTAGAGAACAGGTCAGCCAGCCAAACACCTACCTGGGTTGGGTGACTGGATGGATGGATGGACGGATAGCTGTGTGCCCTTCCTTTCCCTGTGTGTCTGGTTCGGTGCGGCGCGTGCAGGAGGGCATCGACCCGCTGCTCAAGATAGACGAGCTGCGGCAGACACAGCTGCACATCGCACGCATGGGCAGCATGTGCTCAGGTCCCGACACGCGCCGCGCATGAATGCGCAGCCCACCCACTTTGGTGGAGTGGATGCGTCTGTGTGTTCTGGCAGATGGGCGTCTCTATTACTACAGGTCGATTGTCTGTGTGGGTGAG